GTCTACCTCCCATAAGAGTTGTTAATAACTATAAAAAATGTTTTAGAATTGAGAGGGACAAATTTACTCCTGATTAGGATAATCAGGAAATACTTCTTAGAGAGGTATTTTAGTTGAACCTTGAAATATGTATAGGATTTCAATAAGCAGAGAATGAAGAAAAAGATTCCAGGTGCAGGGAGCAGAGGGAGAAATGGATACAATTGGGAGCCAACTAAGTGTAGCAAATATATTATTGTTATACTACTTTCAGAACTTTTTTAAAGAACTTTCAGAAGTCCCCCCCCCCTACACACACACACACACACACACACTTCTAGGAATACTTCTTGAAGCATTTGTAGGTTGTTTACACTTTGAGGTATGATAATTTTATGAGAACATATTTTAAAGAGAGCTTTCCTGCATGAATGTCTATTCTCCAGCTTCTTAACTGTGCAGGTTGAGTATCCCTTTTCCAAAATACTTGGCATCAGAAGGGTTTTGGATTTTGGATTTTTTTCAGATTTTGGAATATTTGCAAATACATAATGAGGTATCTTAAGTATGGGACCCAAGTCTAGACATTAAAATAGTTTGTTTCATGTATACCTTATACACATAGCCTGAAGGTAATTTTATATATTTTTAATGATTTTGTGCATGAAACAAAGTATATATACATTGAACCATCAGAAAGCATCACTTGTCCGCCATCCATGTGGACAATCTGGTTGTTTTGACATCACCACCATTCCTGACTCTGAATTTATAAGCAATCATTTTCTTATACTTTTCATACATACATACTTAACAGTGAAAAATGGCATATCATGAATACAGTGAAAAAATAATGTGTTCAGGGTAACTTAGCAGCACAGTAGCATCACCAGAATACCTGTGTCAGTTTGTTAAAAGCTGCGCCAACAAACAACAGCAGGCTTTCAGTCTCCACCTTCAATACTGTGTTTTGATTAAAAGGTTACTGTCCACTATGTTTTAGGTGAGAAGAAACCTCTTAGAAGTGTCTCTTCGATTTTATAAACTCATGATCTTTTGTTCTGTCATGAATACATGCTGCTCTAGTCCTTCAATAAACCCACCACACATTTTCACAATGTCATCTATAGGCACTTTTTAATTCAGTGTTAATGTCATCATCATTATTATCACGATCATCTCATTTCAGCTATTTTGCCATCAGTGAAGGAACAACCAGAGCCCCATTATCAGTGTTAGAATCTTCTTTCATATCCTCTTCTTCTGGCTTACTAATGGATAAAACGATGTTTTGTCAGCATCATAAACTTATTCTGGCATCAGATTTTCAGCAGTGATGACCTTGGCAAACTCATTAATGAATTTCTCTACTGCGTGATCAGCAGGTACTTTATTCACTGCAAGTCTTTAAAAATTTAATGCTGTGTCTTTTCTTAAATTTCTGTAACCAGTCTGTTGAATACTCCTTTCAATTTTCAGTTCATAGTGATAGATCTTTACTTCTTTTATGATCAGCGATATCATTAAGTGGCATGTGTTCCCTGTGATGTTGACACATCCAGTCTTTTCAGTACAAATGAGATCTTCATTTTTAGCTCTATGCAGCATTTTTGTAATTTTCATTAACTTGTATTCATTGCTTTCAGCATGGAACTTCAACAGCTTATCCTTCTGTTTTTCACATCATATGTGGTGGCCAGTCCAACACTGTACTCTTCTGTAAGACATTTCACTCTTACACTGCTGTAGAGTTTCAACAGCTTCACCTTCTGTGTTATAGATAAACATAAATGCTACCTCCTTTTCTTATCACTGTTACCCATAGGACTACCTACAGGCCCTTTTGACATTTTCTACAGTATCTTCATACCACAGAGCAGAGAATAAGCAGAGAAATACAGTGACTAATGCTTGGAGGTCTTGGCCCCATGTGAGGCGTTGTGGAGAACCTGGCACTGGGGCTTCCAGCCTGCTCATATGCCATTTTATTATGCTTTGTGGGCGGGCTTGCCTGGGGGATCTGGGCATGTGTAGAAAAGATATATCACAGCTAAAGGGGGCTGAGAAGGTCTTTTTCCTCTTGGGGATGCTGAATAAACTGTTGGGCACCTGTGTTTTCACTGCAACCCATTATGTGATCAGGTGTAGAATTTCCCACTTGTGTCTTGTTGGTATTAAAAAATTTTTGGATTTTGGAGGATTTTGGATTTGGGATTTCCAGATTAGGGATGTTCACCCTGTATTTGACATGGAAATTTAATTGTTCCCTGGGCTTCAAGTTCAGAAATGTTTAATTTATCATTAATATTCTTTGGCTTGTAATATCTCAATAAAGAGCGTGTGCACACGCTGACCTAAGAACCAAGCAGTTACAGAAGATACGCCACAAACCCTGCTCTTAAGGAATTGACAGATTGATGGGGAGCGAAGCAGGGTAGTGGTAAGGCTTGGTAAAGAATTAGAGGGTCATAAAAACAGAACTTTGATAAAGAGAAACTTGAGATAAATGCTGAAGGTTGGGGAGAAGAGAGCATTTTAGATGGCAGATACAGTGAAAAAAGTATATAGATTCCAAAATGAGATTGAATTTGAGGATACAAGTGAAAGTTCAAAAACAATGAGCTTTGCAAATGACTGGGTGCATTTTGGGTATCAGGGGATGAGGGTGTGCACACTCTTACATGTACAGACATGTATTTGCAAGTTTAGGTACCAGACCCGAGATGGCATGCCCCCCAAACAATGCTAACCTCAGGTGGCCCGTAGGCTTTAGACATTTAATCCGTGGTAACAGTTTCTGGAAGACTAAACTAGTGAAGAAATAACTAGCTTTTTCAGCTGACTGTGTTACTGCCATCCTTCCATCCATCCACCCTTTCTTTTGCCCTCTGAAATGGGAGGCTTAAGTCTTTCCTGACCCAGGAGAGAACTGGAGTCATTTCTCTCCCACTTCCAGCATGTTGAGAAAATCGTAAGCACCATCACTGACCCTTGTTCATTTAAATACAGTGAGCTGCCATAGTCATTTTACCTGTGTTTTAATTTCATGAGTATTAACAGTTTGACATTCATTTAGTAAGCATTGAGTCTTCACTAAAGCTAGGTACTGAAAATAGGGTTCATTAATTCGTTCAACCTAACATTAATATTTATAATGACCTTACTTTGTACCAGGCACTATCCTAGGTACTGATTGTACCAGAACTGAATAAAAGAAACATGTCCCTGTACTCACAGAGCTTATGGTCTGATGGGGGACAGTGAAATTTGTGAAGCAAGCACAAATGAAAATGCCTTTGCCATGGTGATAAGTGCTGTAAATGAGAGCTTGCTAAAGGAGAGAGTAAAGGGAAACCTACTTTTCAACAGCAGTTAGGGATGGCCTCTCAGAAAGAGTGGCATTTGTGCTGAAGTCTGAAGGATGGAGGGAACCCAGCCAGAGATAAGGCAGGTTGGGGCCTCAGGGATGGGGAGAGGAGAGGCCTTACTAAGGACCTGAAGCAGGAAAAGGCTAATGAATAAATGGGTAAGATGGACCTAGTTCCTCTTCTCTTTAAGTTCCATTGTGATGGATGTACAAAAACACACATTGTGACCGGTCTGGTAATAGTGGCTTTGGTAAGTGCTATCTTAGTTTATTAGAATCATGCACATTGAGAAGTCTTCCTCAAGTAGGAGATATTTAAGCTAGGCCTTAAGGATAAATTAAGTATTTGTGGGAGTGTAGGGAGATGTCTTTGTATAGTAAATGAGTTCAGAAAAAAAGGCTTATAGTTCTTCAATGTTATTTATTTGGACAGCTATAATATAGATATTATAAATTCTTTCTAGAACCTTAAGCCCAGTGAACATTAACAAAATTGAAATAAAATGCAGAAATGATAACATTCAGAAGATTGTAGATTCTTAGTTTTGTCTATTTTATAGCATTTTAATATGGCAAATGTTTTGCTATCCTGTCTTTTAAAGATTGGCATATATAGAAATCAACTTTTGAAAGACTGGCTTTTTTCTAGGTATTGATTTTTAATTATTATTATAAAAAAGGTAAACATAGAAAAATAGAAGAGTATAATAAATTGCCATGTACCTGCCACCTAAATATAACAATAAACATTTTTCCATTGCTTTATTTTTTTAGCCATATTTTAAAAACATGACATTTTCCCACTAAACATATAAGTTCACATTTCTAAAATAAATAAGGACATTTCCTTATACATGTTGAGCATCCCTAATGTGAAAATCCAAAATACTCCATCCGAAATGCTCCAAAATCTGAAACTTTTTGAGCAGCAACATAACACCACAAGTAGAAAATTCCATACCTGCCCTCATGTGACAGGTCACAGTCAAAATGCACTGAAAACTTTGTTTCATGCACAAAATTATTAAAATATTGTATGAGATTACTTTCAGGCTATATATATAAGGTGTATATGAAACATAAATGAATTTTATGTTTAGACTTGGGTCCCCTACCCAAGATATCTCATTATGTATACGCAAATATTCCAAAATCCAAAACCCTAAACACTTCTGGTCCCAATCGTTTCAGACAAGGGATATTCAACTTGTATAATCATAAAAACCATTATCAGACTTACCAAAATTAATAATTGCTAAATATCATCTACCCCAATTCTTCTACATATTTCTCCCAATTATCCCTAATAAAGTTCACATAATGCTTTTAGTTGAAACATGTCTTTGGTCTATTAATCTAGAACAGTTTCCTCAACCCATGCCACCTTTTTTTTTTGTTTTTTAAGAGATGAGGGTCTCCCTCCATCCAGGCTGGGGAGTACATTAGTGTAATTATAGATCACTATAGCTTTAGAACCCCTCAGCTCAAGTGATCCTCCTATATCAACCTCCTGAGTAGCTGGGACTACAGGCCTACACCGCCATGCCCCACTAATCTTTGCTCTTATTTTTTGTAGAGAAGGGATCTTGAACTCCTGGGCTCAAGCAATTCTCCCACTTTGGCCTCTCAAAGTTCTGGGATTACAAGACCACTCTTTTTTTTTTTAAGTAACATTTTTTTTGTTTTATTGAAAACAGGGCCATTCTTTGTTTACTATACCACCGTTGGGATTTGTCTGAGTGTTTTCTGCAAGCTGGGAACTAGATCTAAAGGCTTAATTACATTCAAGTTATATATTTCTTTTTAAGTACAAAGAAATACAAAAAGAAGCTCCATGCTTGTATTTCCAAGATGACTTCTGTTCCTTCTCATCCTCTCTCCCTCCTTCTCCCCTTCTCCTTTTTCCCTCACTCCACACATACAAGAATATAGAGATAGAAAATTCAAATAGTGCAGAATGGAAAGATACAACACTAATTGAAAGCTTCTGTCCACCTGTCCCCAAAGTCAACCACTGATGATCTTTCCTTTCTGAATGGAAGTGTTGTGCATTTATAACATGCTTTCTCTGTGAAAGGTTGGTGGTGGTTTTTTTTTAATCACCTCAACTTTGTTGACTTTGAAAACAACTTTTTGGACTGAAAAAACTGATACAGCTTTCTAGATAATGTTCTATTATTGAACTTCTGGAAGAGTGTATTTGAAATTTAATTCTTAAATTATTCAAACTACCAGTACTTCCATTTTATTCTCATTAAACTACACAATTTGACTTCGCTTAGAGACTCCACACAGACAGCCAAGGAAACCAATGATGATCTGACTGAGCCCAAACAGGACCTCAAGAATTCCAACAACCAACAGACCTAAAAATACTGAGAAGTGAATAATTGTATGTTGGGCCATGGTGTCACTGCTGGTGGGGTTATTGAAACCATTAAGAGTTTCAATAATGCAGGAGTTATTAAGGTACCACTGCAAGTCGAAGGATTCTTGATGAACGGCACTGGAAAACAAGAGAAAAGATAAAAATAAGATGTTCAGGTATGTCACTGTCCAAAGGAATGCAGCATTGTGCCCAGAAAGGAACAAGTATAAAATAAGACAGAATGCACTTTTGAAATACTGTGAAAAACTATCGCTAAGACAGGGTTTCTAAGCATGTGTCCATAAACCCTCATAGTTATAAAACTTGTATTCATTATATATCCCATTATTTAACAAGCATTTCTATAGTGCATCCACTTTTAGGTTGAACCGTATGAAATTGCTGTTAATATATGTCAAAGGATTGAATATCAATAGTTTTGTGTGGCTTGGCCTATTTATGCAGGCACTCTTCTATTTGCTAAAGATACAGAAACAAAATAAAGGATCTCCCCTCCTTTAAAGGAGCTCAGTTCCTAGTGCAGAACTGCAGCGTTGCATCTACTCTAAAACCCAATGTACACTTTTTGCTCACAAAAGACATTTTAAATAAGTCTGCTTAAAGTGATTTGTGCCTGTTCTACCAGGGCTATGGAAAATGATTAGATGTTAGCCCTAACATCTAATCCCAAGATGATTTTTCTTTGGTTTATTATAGAGTAGGAATGAAGTGTCCTTAGGGAGTTTGCACTTCTGGATACCGATAGCTGACATTCAACATAGGAGAAAAACAACAGTATTTTCAGTACATGGACTGAGTCTGCTTTTGTGAAGTTTGCAGCAGGCACAGGATCACTCTGTTGTAACTGTGTGCTGGCATAGTCCATCTCCCCAACTAGACTGGGAATTTTCTGAGCGCTGGTACACTGTGGGCTATTGTCTTTCCTGAGGATCGAATGTGTATAGCATCTGTGGTAGGAATCTCTAATCTACTTCAAATCTATTCGTAAGGGGAATTTCTTTGGGTTTTGATTCAAAACAACTGTGCTATGCACATTTTGAGAGATTTTCCTTTTTAATGTAGCAAGGTAAGGGAAAGGAGGAAAAACAATTTGTTATGTAACAACAAAAGTAAATTCTGCTTATTTACCAACTGGGCAGCTATACAGATAGCTCATGCATTGGATTGTTTTTCTTCCAGTTTTTACACATTGTGCCTAGATTTAGTCGCAGAACCATCTTAAAAGACAAAAATGAGCCATTTACATGTGACTCTTCAGTATTATGTATTATTACATGACTTAAAATGTTGACTTATTCCCATGCCTACAGTAAGGTCTGCATGAATCTGTCAGCTGCTTTATTCCATTTAGGGCCCACAGGTAAGGCTCTATGTTTTATTTATTATGTTTTTATTAAATTTAAAAAATTATACGCGTGATATGTGCTCTGGTTTACAAATTTAATTCAGAAGTGTAGAAAGTAAATGTTTCCTTCACTCCCCCAGGGAATCCTGCCTTACTGTTCTCCAAGGATGAAAGTTAAGTTTCTAGTGTATGTTTCCGGAAATTTTTTTATATACATACACATATGTAACCATAAATTTTCAAAAGACAGGCATAAGCCATTTGAGATCAACTAGTCCTTTTAGACAAGACCATACCCAGAGCGTTCTAAATGCAGCGATTCTTCCATTTCTCTGTGAGATTATGCGAATTGGGATTAATGTGCTAAATCCCTAAAAATCTGTTTGTCCCAGTAGTGGTAGGTAGTTGCATCAAAGAAAAACGAGGCATTGTTGTAGTACTGTGCTGTTCTCGTCTAACTAGCTGCATTTCTGTAAGATGGTAAGACAATGAAAATCAGGTTACTTACCTTAAGTTTTTGAATGAAAATTTACAGTTGGCAGTACTGTTTCCTTGAGAGTTACACACGAGAGGACCTTCCAAGAGAGCCTGGAAAGACACCCAAATGCAATACGCAGCACCAAGGACTGTGATTACATTGAAGAGTGATGAAAGAAACATCTGAAAAATAAAATAGAGCCATTTGCACATGTTCTTGGTTTGTTCCAACAACATACACAGTCTTTTTGACATCGACTGCTGCCATTCTCCAGTCACCCCATAGTCTTGGATCGTAATAAGATCACAGTTTGATTAGGTGTGAATTCTAAAAGAAGGCAGAGGGCAAAGTCTGCTGTTTGATCACACTCACTAAAAGATGGTTGGGCTTGCCACTGACTCTGAAAACTCTCAACTTTCAATATTCCTGAGCATTGTTAATTTCATCCTGTTTCTCCCCTCTATTTTGTGTACTTCCTAGTTGAAAGAACCTTGACTAGATCTCAACCACGCACATTTTGATGTCTGGTCTCTTGGCTCCCAAATCTTTAATCTAAATTTGGCCCTGATGCTCTAAGCGGCTAGTGGCCGGCATCCTGCCGTGCCAATCAACAGCGCAGAGCGGGACTTTCTGACCTCAGCACTCCTGGCGTGTGAGCATCTTGCTCTTGGAACCTGTCCTGTGCAGTGCAGGTTGTTCAGCAGCATCTCTGATCTCTACTCACTAGATTCCAATATCACCACCTTCCCAACTCCCAGCCCAGTGGTGACAATATTGTCTCCAGACATTGCCAAATATCCCCTTGGGGTGGGGGGGGGGTGGCCAAAATCCCCCCCGGTTGAGAACCACTGTGTTCAAAAGTTAGTGCTAGTGCTTTTCCAAAAATAGTTCTTATGTTGTTTCAGTGACGGTGTTAGTCGATGATGGTGATTATTGCAAAATCAGTAGAAATGAAGTGTGGGGATATTTCTTTTCCTTTGGTAGAATAGTACTGCAGCTCCCAGAGGAAGTATGTGTTGTGCTTTCCAGGCCTACTTTTAGTGGGTAGGCAGAGTAAAGTGGCTACCTATATAGTTGAGGGACATTGTACTTTACATGTGTTATCTCATTTAATACTTTCGATAACTCCAAAAGATAGATACTATTATTATTTCTATTTTATGAATGAAAAAACTGCATTTCTTGGAGGTTGACAAACTTGTCAGGATCTCACAGCTGGGGAACACTGGTGCTCAGATTTTAATCAATGCACTACACTTCTTCCAGCTGGAAGCACAGAATGATGGGTTTGGAGTTTGGAGTCTAATTCAAAGCCTGAATCTCCCACCCTACTGTCACCTATGCACATCACTTCAATGTACTCATTAGGAGGTGCCACTGTGTTTATTTTTTGATCATCTGTTATTCCTGACTTCTCATCGCTGCAAAGGAGTCTGGCTGCAGAAAGTGATCTGGGCATCTGTATTTCCTGGAGATTGGGGATTCATTTAAATGATTGGGCAAAACCATTTTGCATGCAGGAACAAAATCAAGAACTGGAAAAGGGGAAGAAGCAAGGAACAGTTAAAATAGGGAACAAGCCTTTGTGACCCCTTTCTCTCCCTCCCTAGATTTAGCCTTCATCACTTTTATGATGCTTCCAGTCTTACCTAGACTTTGAAGACACCAGGTAGGACTTAAACACACATGGCTGCCAACGAGTGAGAAAAGTTGCTAAGAACTTTTTTATAACATTTAATCAATATAAACTGGTGATTCTGATTAAATAACTGGCACAGCACCCCCTCGGAACTCCTGGAGCTCCCAAGCATGTAATAATCTGTAATTTTGCTGAAGCATGACTTTGGATTATTTTCAAGGTGGATATGGGTGAGCAAAACCTCCTAGTGAAGTAAGCCCAGTTCAGAAGTGGCTTGGTTATTCCTCCTCCGTGTGTCCTCAAAGGAGAGGGAACACTTAAGTGATTATTGAAGAGAAATGTGAAAGAACATGTGCAGGAAATAAAAAAGATTCTTAGTTATGATTTGAGGAAAAAATCTATATAAGTGTTTTGATATTTTTGATTTAAGGGATTCAGAATTATCTCAAGATGTCTCTCTCTCTCTCTGTGTGTCTCTCAAGAATGTTTCGAGTACAATATAAAAGAAATACAAGTCAAATTCTAAATTATTACAGTTTATAGAGAAAAATGACAGGGAGAGGAAATGGAAAACTAATATTTACTAAACACCTGAAAGGTGTCAAGAACAAAGATAAACTAGACATAATTAAAGTAATTATTGTAATCCTAGATAAATGGACCAAATATCAGAAAAAAAGGAAATTAAAAAAAATATTCTGTTATAGATGTAAATATCTATTCTCTCTAAAACAGTGGTCCTAATTCCTGGCAACACATTAGAATCAACCTGGGTGCTTTTGGAAAATACTGATGCAGTATCTCTGGAGACCACCATGGCACTGGTATTTTTTAAACCTCCCCAGATGATTCTAATGTTCCCATATGTCCCAGAATCCTTGCTTTAAAACCTCAAGCTCAGCCAGGAACGTTTATTGTGCTCGTTAGGGATCTGCCCCTTCCTTGAGGAGTTATGAGAGCCCTCGCTCTTACTTAATGGTAAAGTTCACGGTATGAAGAATCTACACACTGTAAATTTTGGAGCTGGGTGGACTTGGATAGAAATCCACCCTGAATGTGCCCGATCTCGTCAGAAATCCACGTGCTAGCTGTGCTACACTGGCAAATTACTCACTGTCTCTGAGCATCAGTTTCTTGGTCAATAAAACATAGATCTCACTCTTTCCCACCTAAGGGTTTTGAGAGAATTGAATGAGATAGCTTATTTTAAAGTGTTCTGAGCAGAGTGACACTTAGGTTAATGAATATAAATTTACTTATAGTTTAGTTACAACTTCATGCATAGTAGGTAGGTACTAAATGTTTGGAAAAAAAAAACATAACTGGCATCTCCTTTAACCGGATAAGGGCAATTATTCGAATCCTGACTCACTGATCTTTCATATGCATGAAAGGATGGAGAATATGGTTTCCCTAAATGTTTTATACACACCACAAAACTAACAAGTATTTGAGTACTATGAAATGGATTACAGCTCTGGATGTGACTAACAAATCTTTCTTTGAAAACCTTCAGATTGGTGGACTGAAGATTGAGGGAAGGACGGAAGGCTGGCTCCAAAGCTTCATTTTTATGGGAAAAAGAAATCCCTTCTCACTTTCCCTTGTTACCATATAATCATCCTAAATAGCATGTTTCTGAGACTGTGGCCTGCCGGCGGAGCCCACTGTGACTCGGTGGGTGACTCAGGGTGGCTCTGCATCGATGTCAATAACTACGTGTGCACTTCTGCCTCCAGGCCAGTCCCCCCCGCACTCACCCCGACTCTGTTGTTGCAGCACGCTCTCTTTGTTGCCGACAGGGACATTATCGTGGCCGGAATGACCTGGAAATCACATCAACAGGAAAGATGAGTATTATTACTTCTTGTCAGACAATGGAGCAATAATCTCCACCTTCCATTTTTACCACCAGTTGTGGGAAATCAAGGCTCAAGAGAACAAGAAGAAAATTTGGCAGTATCCTTGGTCTTCTGAACTTTGTGATCCCAATTCCAACTGTAAAGATTAAAGAGTGAAGGGGGTGAATTCAAGACAGCAGTTTTAAAGTCTTGCATCTACATTCTTAGTTTACTCCGAGTCATCTGCCGAGAGACTTGGATTTTAAATAGATCAGGATGACTTCTTTATGCACTATTTTGTAAAAAAAATGTTTCTGAAAGAATTGATTGCATCATCCAACGTTCGCTTTTTTTCCCTTTTTTATTACTACGACTTACAGCCACTTATCCAGTTTCCCAAAAATTGTATGAATTAGTCTGGCAAACCTCCAGAAATAAATTGATGGCTTTGTTTGCCTGGCACTTGGGAACATCACCATGCCCTCCCCCTCACGTCACTCTTCTCCCAGGGTCCCTGCCATCTCGCCGGTTTCCCCGACCTTCTATTTGAGAACTGGTTTGGGTTCCACATTCACGTTTTAGCTCCTGGGTCCAGGATCTGTAATGACCGCACCTTGCTCTGATGCGCAGCGGTCTCGTATAGAAGGCCGTATGAAACCACACCACGTTCTCAGGCCTTGGGTTTCAACAGCTACGACTAGACATTCTTCCTGGAGGGAGTTTTGTATCTCTGAAGGGTGGAGTGTAAGTTACCCTCCTTGCCACTTGAGAACTTTTAGCCGTGTTTTTGCCAACTCAGCACAGCTGTTCTCGAGTCATTTTCCCTGTCCTTCTGCTCCCGTTTCCTAGCACTTCACTGAGCGCTAACCGCATGCCAGGTGCTGTCGCAGGTGCTGGACTGGACAGGCTTTTGTTTGTTCCATCCTCATAACAGTCCTATGAAGTAGGTGCTACGATATCCCCATTTTACCCGTGAGAAAACCAAGGCACAGAAATTCTGAGTAACTTGCGAGAGTGGGAGAGTTGTGATTCAAAGCTCGGCATTTGGGCTCCAGACCCCAGACTCTTACCCGCTATTCCACGCTGCCTCGATTGTTATAATGCTCCCCTGTTTCTGCCTAGAGTTTGTTCATTCTCATCCCCAACCACCGCCCTTGCGTTTATCACTGTTCTCCCAGCTGCTCCTTCTCTGGTCCGTTTTCCCACACCCACATCTGCCTCTGTTGTTTCAGAACAGGTGTAAGGTTTGCACCTCTCACAAGGCAGCTTTCCTAACAAACTTCACCCCATCTGATCGGGTGCTGCCCCATGTCACTTTGTATTGTTACCAAGCTTTGCTTACACATTTCTTTGAACACCAACACCCTTATAAGTTAGAGGCCACATATATGGCTGCCCAGCAACCCCAGGGCATAACTGAAAGCCCAGAAGACAAAAAAAAAAAAGAAAGGCCAGGCATGGTGGCTCATGCCTGTAATCCCAGCACTTTTGGAGGCCAAGGTAGAAGGATCACTTGAGCCTAGGAGTTTTGAGACCAGCCTGGGCAACACAGCAAGGTCCCGTCTCTACAAAATTAACCAGGCATGGTGATGTGTGACTATAGTTCTAGCTACCTGGGAGGCTGAGACGGGAGGATCACTTGACCCCATGAGTTCGAGGTAACAGTGAGCTATGATTGTGCCACTGTGCTCCAGGTTGGTAGCAAAGTGTGAACCTGCCTCTAAGAAAGAAAGGGGAAAAGAAATTTCAGCCCCCAAATAGGTATTAGCATTCATGCATTAAGCCTCTTTTGTTGTAAGCTATACTGGCCTTCTGAGCTTACAAAACAAATCATGTAGAACAAGAACTGGCAAACTATGGCCCACCACCTCTCTTTCTGTAAATAAAGTTTTATTGGGACACAGCCCTGCCCGTTCATTTCAATATCGTCTTTAGCTACTTTTTGCACACCAAGAGTAGAGTTGAATAGTTGTTGAAGAGACTGGCTTGCAAAGCCTCAAATATTCACTTATGAGTCTCCTTACAGAAAACGTTTGCCAACCACTGATTTGGAAAATTCATGAATCTTTTAAAAGAAAGTAGACCAACATTACATTATGACTTAAATGGATCAATCACTCCATTTTCCTTATTGGTGTAAATTAACTCTGCTAACTTTCTTTTTTTTCTTCTTCTTCTTTTTATTTATTTATTTTTATTTCAGCATATTATGGGGGTACAAATGTTAAGGTTACATATATTGCCCATGCGCCCCCTCCCCCTTTAAGTCAGAGCTTCAATTCTTGAGGATAAGTTTATTTCAGAGATGCTAAATATTTACTTTCATGATTCCCTTGCAAAAAGGTTTTATAAAGTAACAATAACTTATAGTGTATGAATCACCACCCGGTTGACTTCACGGTATGTTAGCACATCTTTGTTACACCCATTATGAGTAATTTTATAACTCACTGCATTTCAACCATTTTGTCCCTTTGGATCTTTAGAAATCGGAGGGGCTCTATTTTGGGATGGACCCTCAAATGTGAAAGAAAGAGACAGTGTGTGTGTGAGTGTGTGTGCGTGTATGTGACTGAATTATAAATCTTCCAGATAATCTGCCAAAATAATTATGAGAATACCCTTTCTCTTCAATTCCTAAACATATTTGAATGCCTAAGAGTGTTTGTAAAATTAGAAGTCTTATTGGTCTTTTGTTTTTATAAGGAAAAGAAGTATTGTTCATTTTTCCTGACAGAAACCCATACTTTTATAAAATTTTCAAAGTAAGTTATAAGATTTTACAAATGAAGTACAGAAAAGCTTTAGATTATTAAAAATTCTGTGTTAAAATCTGGACATTTGGGAGTTCTCTAAATACTTAAAACATAACACACAAAGCTGCAGCTCATCATAAATATAAAAACTATATTTTGCAAATGTTTATCATGCATAATACCTTCTAATCTGTTTAACTTTCAATAATTTGTTCTCTATTAAGACTTCAATAATTGATCTTGATGGGCTACTATTATGTAATAAGTGAACTCAATAAATTAACATGATTAAGATGAAGCTTACAATTAACTTCATAGAAAGTTAAATGGCCTTTCTGTGTATAGTTTTCAAGGAAAAATTTTGAGGTTTTTTAAAATACTCAAACAAATAACAATCTGTATTGGTTTTTCCATTTAGCAGATAATAGGTTAAAGATAACTACGTATGTAACACTTTTACTCTTAGTCATGGTTTCAAAAGATGACAAGGTTCACCTCTGTTCTGGGTAAGTCATAAAACCATAAAACGAATATATTTTATGAAGTAATCAATAATGAATTCTGTAGTTTGTGTTATTAGCTGCTTTCTCCTAATAATTATTTTTTAAACAATACTGATTTGAAATGCTACAGCAAGTTTGGAAAGATTTCTAGTTATGTCTAAAGTGCTCATCACAGACTGTGATTTCTTTTCTATTTGCAAGTGTATTGAGAGTTCAATGTTTTGAGAGTTCAATGTTTTGAACTGTCCATCAGTATTTTGATGGACATTGGAAAGGACATAATTCCCTTTGGAAAAGATATTTTCCCACATTCTCTATATAGTTAAGGATCATGAAACTATCCCTGTATTCTGAACCCTCCTGCCAACCACCCATTTGCTTGTGGGCATAGCCTAGAGTTTGAGGCTTTATCTTTAAAGTATATATTGGACTTTTCAAAAAGCTGTTTGATGCTTTAATGACATTCTGTCATACTGAGTAATAGAGATAGCCTGGCGTTGATACCTTTCATTATTTATTGGGGGTGATAAAGTAAATTTAGCTGCAGAACAAGGAAGTCCAGATTACAGGTTTATATAACCTTTCTACATATGATTCAGTTTCCTGGTCACTTAACTTTATGAATTACATTATGGATGTAATGTAATTACACCTCTGGCAGCCTGAGACAGGTGTTAAGGACTCTGGTACTAACACTGGTGGAAAAACAGAGCTTTGGAGTCAGATAAATCTGGAATTGGATTTCTCGCCCACTATGTGACCTTGTTAACATTCCTAGCCTTCTGTTTGTTGGTCTGTAAAACACAAATGATAATATCTGCCCAGGTTATTATAGAGATTAAACGAAATAGGACTAATGCATGAGCCTGGTAGTTGGCACTTTGCAGCTGGTCAGTAAGTGGAAGATGTGTGCCGTTTTGTCTGTCTCTGTGTCTTTGTCTCTTCTCTCCCTCCACCAAGACTTCCACCTCCCCAAAATGAAGACTGCAAGTGACATAGGCGTGTGATCACCACCGCAGGCTCCTTTAGTGCTAGTACAAAAATTATTTTTTAATTCTCATGGGGTTTAGGGCAGAATGAATTTATATCTAAAGCTACACGAGTTATTCTAAGTGGATTGTCCTAAGTCAGGAACTTTTAAGAGCTTCATGGGAATCGCCGTCGTTAAGTTACGCTCAGCTCGCTGCCTCGTGAGTCTGACGCAAGCGCATGCAAAGCAGACGTACGCTGCTCAAGGAGAGAAGCCGTCTGCAGGGCAGAAAACAGACACGAGGATTTACAGTTGCTTCCTTATTGAGCGATGGGTTCTCTCTCTTTTAGCCTGGAAGAGAACTTTCATGGCAGTTTGAGGAAATAGCCCAAAACTTTCCTTTAATTAGCTCTTTCTTCCTAAAGTGGGCGAGACATCGCTCGTGATGGTAGAAGAAAAGAAGGTGTCACTTTTGCAGGATGCTTCCTAGAGTGGCTTTCTTATGCCAGAGTGGTCTCAAGGCCAGTGTCCCAGCTAAAGGATGGAGTCCTATCTGGAGTTTAGTACCTAATGGCCTGACAGTGATTTGGATACGTCTGGGGGTAAGACCAGCAGCAGCAACTGACCATCATTAAGAATTCATGATTCAAGTAAAAACTGTGTCCTGAGTTTCTTTTTTCTTTTCTTTTCTTTCTTTTCCTCTTTTCTTCTCCTTTACTTTCCTTTTCCCTCCCTTCCGTTCTTCCTTCCTTCCTTCCTTCCTCCTTCCTTCCTTCCTTCCTTCCTTCCTTCCTTCCTTCCTTCCTTCCTTCCTTCCTTCCTTCCTTCCCCCCTCTCTCTCTCTGTTTCTTTGGTGGTTCAAGTAAGAATTATGTCCTGAGTTTCTCTTTTCTTTTTTGCTCTATTGCCTGGCTGGAGTGCAGTGGGCACTATCATAGCTCACTGTTACCTTGAACTCCTGGGCTCAAGTGATCCTCCTGCCTCAGCCTCCAGAGTAGCTAGGACTATAGGCATGCACCACCACACCTGGCTAATTTTTTTAATTTTTTTTTTGTAGAGACAGTCTTGCTATCTTGCCCAGTCTGGTCTTGAACTCCTAGGCTCAAGTGATCCTCAAACCTCTGCCTCCCAAAGTGCTGGGATTACAGGCATGAGCCACAGTGCTCGGCCCTGATTTTAAAAGTTGTCTCCATGTTTCCTTATCCCCAAAACACTGATAATATGGGTCTTTGCAGCTCTCTCTCTCTCTCTCTCTCTCTCTCTCTCTCTCTCTCTCACACACACACACACACACACACACAAACTCATTTCTGTGGCACCGACTAGACCCTAGTGGTAGAACAGACAAAAAGAAGTCTCCCAGATGCTGAGTTTTCAACTTCAACATCCACATCACTATTTTAGGAATTTGGAAACAAAACCACAGGATAAATGATTTGTTCACAATAATATATTGGAAACAGAACCATAGCTGAAATATTCTTCCAGATATGAAAACAGTATTCCACTCTACCAGTGTGTCCTACCAAGTACTCCTACAGAATTCCCAGACAAGGTCTGTAAACTGTTGCAAGTGCCTCAGGTGATTGATGATCTGTTAGATTGAGGAGTTTCCACATGGCACTCCTCTGTTGCAGATCTCAACACAGGCAGACCAATTAGTAATCATCAAACTATCAAATAAGCTCAATGATGTTCTAGGTCTAGGATCTATGTAACAGCTGAATCCGAAAGTCCTTGGGGACAGAGACCCAGGACTTCAAGTCCCTACCTCTTGGGGGAACTCCCTTCAGCTACAGACCACCCAACATTCGTGCCTCACAGTTATCCCAGGGATAGTCATGGAGCATGGGGAGGTTTCTTCTCCTTTCTATTGGGCAATGTCCCACGCCTACTGCATCCCCTGTAAATACTTAGAGACTGGTGTGGAGCAAAGAAAAGTCGACAGAATGAATTCAGAAGGTCCCTAGTACTAACTATAAAGCTTAGAAGACCAGGCTACATGTGTAGAAATGGGAGAAGTAATAACCCAACCAACTTTTATCAATTTAGTATTTTTTTTGCCCAAGCTTCCTCGCCTGTACCACATAGTTTCATTTGCCACTCTTCACTGATGACCAATATAAATTAATACGTTATCCCTGCTCCTAATTGTATCCTAAACCAAGATGTAACTAACTGCAAGGCTGAAAGACAGCCTTTAGGAGTCTGGCAAAGTAGGCAAGCCCTTCTCCAAATCAAGTCGAATAACTATCACTCACCATGAAACCTGCTCCTATGATTCCTGGGAACCACCACTCAAAGCAAGAGATGGGATTTTGAGGAAATCGGTCTTCCTCAATTAAGTTGAAAATCAGAGGCACCGCATTGAGAGCTACTCCCAAGATCAGGAGGATCAGCAGGCAGACCCCGTTGCAGGACGTCCATCCCTCGCAGCAGGTCATGGCCTCCCCGTCCAGGTAGGAGCCTCGTCAGCGTGACTGTGGGTGTGCGGCACTGCCTTACCTTTTATCCCAACCTTCTGGTTAAAGTTTAGACATTATAAAAATGAATTGTGGAGAGTAGTTCAGAGTCCAACAGGGGGGGACATTATTATGACGACTATGATGGGAACTAAGAGTAAGTTTCTATTATGACGGAATGAAGAAAGGAAGGCGGAAAAAAATCTCTGTTTTTTTCTGTGAGATAAATTTCCACCTGAAAATAGGCAGATTAAAAAAAGGATGGGCTTAAGATGAGCTCCTCTAACATACTCCTTTACTAGTATGCCTTATAAAAAGTAAAAACAAGACTATCTAGCTAACATAAACAATTTCTCCCGTTTTGTTTATATTATTATCAGCTATGGAAGTTTCTCATTTTAAGATTGTTTAACAAGAAAATGAACATGTATGAGATTGGGAGAAAAGTATTTTCTCTGCTGCAAATGGTCCTAGTCAAAATATTAGAGTACAGTTTCAGGCTGTATGTTCATATGCAAACAATACAAATTTTTTGATGTTATATTAAGTCTGGTCTTGTAGAAGAATCCATGTGGAGAGAGTCTGACTAAGACATGTGGGAGGTTTGGCTAACACTGCCAGACTGAAAGGTAGCAATAGGAAAGAGATTGGAGGGGAGCTTACCATCTTTTATTCAACCCCCTCTTGGCCATGTATAGTACTTTCCATTTCTAGACTTTGGTTCTATATTATCTCTCTACTGGTTTGCGAACTCTTCAAGAGAAGACTTTATCAGTTGAGATAGGCTTTGAAATACAAAGTTCTCGCTTAAGCTCGCTGGCCATCATGATTGACAAGGGGGCTCTGCTCATAGTAGTTACTGGGAGACCCAGACTGGCAGCAGCAGCATTTTGATCCGGGCTTCCACGACTGCAGAGGAAGGGTACAAAAATGCGGTGAGCCACATTCTGGGTCTAAACGTTTCTGCCCAGAAGTGACGCCCATCACTTCTGTTCACATTTCATTGGCTAAACAAGTCACTCAGTTATGCTTTGGTTCATGTGGAGGGTAAAATACAAACACAAGTGCCTAGAAGAAAAGAATGGAATGTTAGGCAGCTCTGATATCTACAGTGCCTTCCTCTACTTCTGTGCAATCCCCGTCTCAGCGTGGAGCAATCAGCAAATGCAACAGGGAATGGGAGCTAGCGAATGCAGCCGTGTGGTCAGTGGCTTCCACAAGCTCAGGTGCAACAGGCTGAGAGAGCAGCAGCCCGTCCTGCAACGGCAGGAAGGCACACAGCCTGTGGCACTGGGTGTCCTTGGACATGGGCACTGAAACATTAGTTCCAGTTTGGGGCTCAAGCTGGAAATGACTCTTTGTACCAAAGGATTAAAAATAATCTAGCATCACCATCTAGCACACAAAACACTGGGAATGACTGAAATAACACCACTACAGCTAGGTTGAGAGATGAGAGATACTTCCATTGTATGATTCGTATACTTCTGCATGCTTGGGATTTCTAGAACAATTACATAACTTTCTAGAAATATACTTTTTATTTTTTAAAAACAATTTAAAACTACCCTCCCATTGAGTCATACAAATTGTATGGTTATGTAAATATAGAATGTTATGTAAAGAAGTTATGTATTTATTACCGAGTTGAATGCATGCGAACTAGGAGTTACTTATTTTAGAATGTGGGCTCTACAATTTCAAATCCTTTTGCAGTCTTCATAAGGTGTTGAATTGAAGAACTGTTTGGGTAATTGTTTTATGTCTAGGGACCTGAACTGGTTGGATTCTACCCGACCATGAGAATCAAAAGTCTGATTTCCAGAGTGTTTGTCAGAAGACCCAAACTAAGTAAGCCACATGGTTTTGCTTAGTAGGCATAATATAACTTTTTTCCACTTGAGTCTGGTACTCCTTACACCTGTGGCTAAAAGTAAGTGTATGAAGAATTCTGTGAAAATGTAGACATATAGTTGGTATGTTACGAAGATGATATTTAAGGTAAAGATGAAAAGGAAATTAGCTTATAACTGAAGAGAAGGAATATGGTAGACAACTTTTTAGTATCTGCCCAACAAACACCTCTCCTTCCATAAAAACAAACCCCCACAACTTACATGCATAGAACTTCTGTATCTCATTTGTATTATGGAACTTTGCTGCCCTGGCCATTGCTGATTGGAACACAGGTAAATACAGAAGCTAAGCTTTTCCAATCTCTCCCAGGAGCTTGGAAGTGAAACCAAGAGACACTAGTTATTCCCTTTCATGTATGCAATGGGAGGACAAGTGTATCAGTTAGGATTAAGCTTAGTTACATGTGAAAAGAAATTCAAAATAACAATTGCTTAAGATAGCAATATGGTTATTCATACACACAAAGTCTGGAGGTAGGGACTCAAGAGCTGGCATCATAGCTCCACTTCTTTATGGATCCACTATCTCTTTAATCTCTTCATTGTGTTCAAAATGTGGCAACCATAGCTTCAACCACCATATCTTCTCTCTGTTCAGAAGGGTAAAGGAAGAAGCTTTAAAGGCTTCTATCAAGCCGTTTCCTTGCTTACAATCCAGCCATGTGGCAACATGGGAAATGTAGCATTTATTCCAAGTGGCCCATGCCCGGTTAAAGTTGGGGGGGGGAAGAATGAGACAAGAGAGTATTGGGTCAGCCACCAGCAGTCTCTACCATACCATTTAAATTCATGAGCTCTGCCTGGAAAAACAGAGAAACTGATCTGCACATAAAGAAGGAGAAGGAGGAGGGAAGGAAAGAGAGGAAAGTGGAGGGGGAAAGGGAGAGGAGGTGAGAGACCATGTGGCTTTAGAGAGAGGCAGAGAAAGGGTAGCTGCCAGGTTTCCCCATGGCTTTTTATTTCTTGATTTCTACCCTGTGAAGAGTGACTGCAAGTCCTGTCTTTGTTTTCTGTGACACGCCTGCATATTCTTATATTAAATTATCCCTTTATACTCCTTTTAGTGGGTTTCTATTTTTCTGCAACCAAAAGAACTAAAACTGAAAGCTACTAAAACCAAGGATAGAAAAGTACACAAATAACTAGTCACATGGCGTGTCAAAACAGCAAAAGCTTAGGAGTTCAGGAAAAGGAAGGATTCTTTCAAGACGGGCTGGGATTTGGAATTCCTCTCAGATTTGGAGGATGGCTGGCATTTGACATAAAAAGACAGTGGAAAGGGCATTTATTGTACCAGGATTAGCCAGTTGCAGAAAACCGAAATTCTAGCTATGTTAAGTGGGAAGAGATGTAACTGGGGAATTGTGTACAAAATTTCTGGAAGGGCTAGAAAAGCAGGCTCTAGGCTCATCTGCAGAAATGCTTCCCCAGGACATGACATGTCCCTGCTTTACTGGCCCAGAGGAAGCTGCTGCTTCTAGAAAGTCAGGGTAGCCAGAAAGGCAGGGAAACCAGTAAACCACCTCTGGAGTGATTCTGTTCAAGCACACACCACTACAGTTATGGTCCAGGAAACCATTGCCACCACTGTGGTCATCACGCCTCCGCCCCCTCCATGCTGGTGACTAGATGCTAGAACACTGAATTTGACCACTGCTGCCACTGCAACTGGTTCTTAACTTCCATGAAATGGATATCTGGACCCAGGAACACTGGTGTACTGCAGAAAACTCGACACTCACTCCCATCCTTCTTGTCAGCAGCAACAGACCAAAGTTGCAGGAAGATGGCCTTTACCTCATTTCTGTCTTCCATACTCCTTGAGGGTTAATCAATATCCAGACCCCAGATGCAGAAGACTCTGGGAAATGTAGTTTCTAATCATCCCAGCCTTTGCTGTACAGAAATACTAGAGGGATATTTAAATGGATATTGAGCAAGACAAGTCACCATAGCCACGATAGTGATCTCATTTGAATTGTACGGAGAAAACTTTCTCCTGAATATCTAGGGTTACCATATACCAGATCCCTTTTAAAAGAATCTAAATGTTTGTACTTGTGACTCCAGAGCGACATGTAACATTTAAAAAACAAGTCAAAACTACCTTGTTAATTCAAGTGAGAACAGTGTAAGGTATTAGAAAAATTTGTATTCTATAAAGAATGATCTGCTTCAGGGACCTGTTTAAGTACCCCAGGAGGAATTCAAGTGATAGGAATGAGTATTAAATGTCCACCTAAACTGCCTCAGGGCAACTCCCTTCTAAACACACTCCAGCCACATCAGTTGAAAGCTTTAATAGAACATAGGTGTTATATGGTAGACACAGCTAACTATCCATGAAAAATTTATGCTTTTGCCTTTCATATTAGGTTGTTGCTGGGAAGTGTTGGCCTAGTCTTGGACTAGGTTGTCCAGCCCCTCCTCCTCCACATCTGGGTAGGACCATGTGACTACTTCTAACTAATGGGAAGAGAAGGGAAGTCAGCTGTGTCAGTTTCAAGCCAAAGAACATAAAGAAGTGATGGGCTTTGTTTACGCTCTTCTTTTCCACCTATAGAGTGGAGACAACTAATTGATCTTAGAGGACATGTCTTGAAAATCTCAGTGCTTCCTTCGATCTAGATCCCTGAATGACCTAGTGGAAAACAGCCCCCCCAACCCTCATCCCCTTCTGCCCACCTAGAACTGCTAGGACTGTTAACATCAACAAGAAAAACCTTGTGTTGCATCATTGTGGATTTGTGTGTCAGTTTGTTACAGTAGCTAGCATTAACCCCCCATAAATTCAGTGTATCCCTTGTCTTTCACCTTATCACCTTCCTGATGTTTTCAACATGTGTTGCCAAACATTAGTTTCATCACTGTCAACCCTTCTCAGAAACAACGACCCAAAACAAATCAAAACGAACACAGTGAAATACTATATTTTTCTAGTGTTTTATTAAGAAATTATATTTGGGAAAATAAGGGAAAAGTAGGAATCTTAAGAAATGTCCAGTATATCACCTATGTAAGAGGTATTTAAGTGCAGAAGTTCCACAAAGTAAATGTTGCAAAAAAATAGAACATATTAAAGAGCATTATTTCATTCCACTGAGCTCATTGATGTG